TTCTTTTTGAATGCTTAAGTATTCCAATATGCTACCAATTAAACATGGAACCATTTCAAAATAATGCTTAATAACAAAGTTGAAATTCGATCTTCTACTGTTAGTACCTTCTAGAAATTACAAAAAAAAAACATTTTCAATATTTTTATTGTACTCCCCAAGTGAGCCTCATCACCCCTTAAAAGAAATGACGCCAATTTTGAATCACCCTGTATAGAGTGTATGCGGAAAACAATGCATTTTATATGTGCTAAATCTACAAATTGATTTCCTTCTGACGTGGTTGGAGATGTGGAAGCATTTCTCGGTGAATGAACAATATAAATCATGCCTCATAAATGTTTACAAGATTTATGGAAAACTTGATAGGAATACCTAAATTTTCCTCTGAAAAGAAAACAGGATTTTTGTTTATTTCTGACCTGCGACTCCAGTGAGTAGGTACTTCAGATAACTAGTTTTAAATTGAAGCTAATTTTGAGTTTATTTGCCAACCAAATTTGAATTTTGTAAACGAAATGAGCAGTTCCACAGTAAATCATCATGACAAGTTTCACAATTGCAACAGGATTTTTTCCTTATTGGAAAAGCCTGCAGGAAACTCCTCACTTCAAATTACACAACTGCCAAAACTAAAATTTTTGCATATCGGCGGCAATATCAACAAATCGAGTGTCCAACGTGAGTGAGAAAATTGAAATATTTCGGCTACAACCCGATTCTCCCCTTGTAAAGTGTGTTTTACGAATGTATATCCCGAGGCAAGCAAATGTTGCGGTGGTGAAATTAAAGGGTGATCGTCTGTCACCCCTAAAGCAAGTGCGATCCGCTTTGTATCGGACACTGAAACGGTTCCTCCGATTTATTTCGCTGGCGCCTTTTTGCTAATAAATGAAAATATCTCGATGTGCGGATGGCGGAAGCTTTCTGCTCCAGAAAAGCTCCTGTTTGTTAAGTAGCTCAAGGTATGAACTTTGCCATTAAGGAAGGCAGGCAGTTCAATAGTTGTAGACAACATTGGTTTCGTTGAAAACAGGCATGCAAGCTTGTTTTTCAAACTCACTTTCAGTTTTCCTCATGAGTTGCCGAATTGTTAATATTTAGTACATCAAGAATTCTGGAAGCTGACAAAGTAGCGAAACAGACGGAAAAATCAAAACAAAACTTAAAACACGTGAAGTGTAAAGCCAGTTAGAAGTTGAATTGAATTCGTCGGCACTATGCCTGCCATCCGACAATATTTTGTTCGTTAATAATTTTTGCCGTGTGCACACGTTCTGACCTAAAA